GCTGTAATTGTTCCTCCTGTCAATACTGGCCATAAAGGCATCTCAATGTAAGTGATTTGGGACAAACTCTTTGATCTCTCTGCGGCCAGTATGGACTGGAGGAACCCTCAGAGTCACAACAGTGCGTTCAATATACATATAGGCATGTGAGCCTTGTTTTAAAAATGATCCTTTAAACACTGAATTTAAATGGAACTCTGAGTTTCTTCATGTTTTGAATATTGTCTCCATTTTGCTGTTTCTCCACTGCAACAGAACACCTGTCAATCAAACAGTGTGGGTGGCACTCTGAAGTCTTTTTCCTTCAATCTTCTTTTGTAGAAGTTTGGAGTTTTTGTCTTTTTTCTTCTTCAGTTTGTTTCAAACTGCTGTTGCTGCTTTCAGAGACGCTTATCAGCTGCTGTGCATCAGGGGATTATTGAAGGAGAGAGCTACCAGATCACTTGGCATTTAAAACAAGAAATGGATAAAGCTGCACTTTATACTGGTCGGATCAATCAGCAGCTGAGAGTATTGAAACTGGACGTTCATTTCTATGAAAAGGCCACAAATGATTGATTTACGTGACCTCCGGCATGCTGCGGAACTGCACAGAAACAGTTTTAACCAAAGCAGTCCAGCTGTGTTTCACCCCGTCTCTTACCTGCGCTCGCAGGTCGCTGTGGTAACCCTGGCGACACGGTGTTCCTCTGCAGAGCTGGTTGCTGTGGCGACAGGAGGCGGGGGTCTGTGAGGGTGGAGGTGACAAAGGAGGTGGTGGTGACCAGGGCGCCGCTGGGGTTGTTACTGAACTGGAGGGCTGCCGCCGCTGCTGCGTTCTGATTGGATACTGGCACGGTGACTGGCATGGAGAAGGTGGGCTGTGGGACTGTAGACTGGTGGAGAGACAGGAAGAAGGTGGGGCTCAGATGTGTGCCTCCCCACAAACACATACATCATGTATACAGTAATGGACAGGCGATCAGTTAGTGATCTGCAGCAGTGCAAACGAGCCCGCAGGTGAGAAACACACAGTCACACCGACAGAACCAATCACAACACGAAGAGTCTTTCCAAAACAGATGAGACTTTATATCATTATATAAGACACCACCTGTCCCACTCCAATGTTCTAATCTCATATCCTGTGTTACAACTGCAAAAATAGTATTTAAAAGGGAAAAATATGATTAGCACTGCCAAACTCTCCATCCTATCTGGTTATTTTTGTCTCTTAATGTGTCTTCAGAAACACATTTTCTTAAAATAAGTGAATATTAAGGATTAAAATAAGTGAAGAAATTCGCCTTATTGATTCAAACTACGATGAATTGATAAGTTATAATTATCAGGATGATATCGTGAATTGCAATTATTCTGGCCAGGATAATCCTGACACGCAATGTTCACATCGCCTCATGCCTAGAAGAGACTTTTTCATACATACACAAAATAAGTGAAGTATTGTATTATTTTAAAATCATTTTAACACTAACTTACGCTCAATGACTGATAGCACAAAATAAAAAAAATTCACTCCCTAAATAAAAATAAACCTGCAAGACTTGAGATCAGTTACATCACATCACATCCGTCACCCTTTGTTTTCCTGTCAGGATTCACTATTGTAGCAGGAAATAAATGCAATTAACAAACAATATAAAAGTATCATCATTTGTATTCCATTAATTAAACATATGCAAAAACATTATAAACAGTTGAAGTCATACAGATTTTCTTCAAACTGTAGAAAGAGTGTTTTGGAAATTAACTCTTCAAGCAAACACACATTGAATGTCTCTCTAACACACACACACACACAGAGACGCTCAGTTTTAGCATGCAAGGTGGCTTGGTGGAGAGGCCAAAAAGCTGTGTCGCCTTTCACATCTCATGCCAGGTTAAAACTCTCGTCGCAGCAGCGGGTTATTGCATCGTGTTATTGGTGACATCTCATGGCGTGCATGTCACATTCCAGCTACATCCTACCACCCCCACTGAAATGTGTTCATCCACTGGGATCATGAGGACAGACCCTACAGTGTGTGAGATGTTGCTGAACATATTAAATACTTATGCAGGAGTTTGCTTAATAAAACAACATCTTGAAGCCTAATGCCTCATCTAACACAGACTACTTACTCAACTACTTTTTATTCTTTACTACTTTAATTTACTATTTTTATTTTAAATGGGCTACTTCGTCACCTGAGTTGACCTCTGAAAGTAGATGACCAGACAGTCCAGGGGCAAAAAAATCAAGGGCAAGGACCTCGGGTTGTCCAGCCATCCGACCCATTTCACCCTGTTCCAACTCAATCTGAAAGAAGGACTTCTATATATAGAATATGGGCCAGTGCTGCACTGTACTGTACTCAAACTGCCTGGGACCCAGTTTAACGCAGGAGGACGAGGGCACCTTCCTGCCCTCGATCTCTGCCGCTTTTCCCTCTGAAATGTTTTGTAACTTTTTTTTTTTTTGAGGGAGAGAGGAGGGGAAAGAGAACAAAAACGTGAAAAGATGACTAAAGCTGAAGCGGATGCTATTTTGTCTTGGGTATCGATTCATTTTAAAGGGTTCAAAATGTCTTAGCTGTTTAGTATGGAGTTTTATGGAAAGAACTATGCCTTTTGAATCTAATTATAGAGAAAATAGGGATTTCCTTGAAAGAAAACACGTATTTATTTATTATTGAACACTTCTCCTAAAATAGTATCCACAGTTACATAGAGCCAGAAAACCTTGTGGAAATTATAACAAAACTTTTAGTGCTGTAAAATGAAGCACTATACCCTATGTTTTATGATATTTTATTGCTGGAGTCTTTTCCAGTCTGTACTTGCAACCAGTAGCCAAAGAAACTCCTGATTCTTCCAGTTTTCTGAGATTCAACAGAAAATTCACCCATCAGAGTGTTAAGAGGACGTTTGCAAGGAGAGTGCACAGACAGTGCTGTAGAGTAAGTGGTGACCAGGGCGGGTGAAGATAGCAGCTAACAGCACTGCACCACTGCACACCGGCCAAGCAGAGGGAAAAGGGAGGGGATGGATAAATGGAGGGATGAATGAGGGGGGTGAAGGGTTAGTGCAGAGGGGACGGAGGTGTGTAAACACGGAGCATACAGCACTAGAGAAGATTTATCCTCACGGGGTTTGTCTACAGCCTGACACATTTCACTATTTAGGTCTTTAGTTCTAAACCAGAGTTACAAACAGGACGGGCCTCAGTGTCTTTGCTGAACACGAGGGAATCGAACCTGTACATTTACGGTTACATTAAAGACTATCTAAGACCTTTTTTAAGACCATTATGAATGCAATGTAAGACCTATTTTATGACCATACCGGCAAAAAAAAGTATGAATGATATGAAGGAAAATCAGCATTGGTTCCAAAAAAGTTCCCAAAAACAAATTTATTGCAATATAAAATGCACCTTTATACAAGTGAAGAAAACTTCATTAATCCAATTATGTCAAAGTATATTAAGCACATTTTTATGGCCTAAAATTCAGATTATTGGACTTCTTAAGACCTTGCAGACTGAACTGTTATGTTGTACAAAATTAAAGAACATTTTGAAAGAAATAAAGAATGTATGTGTATGATATGTTGGTTATTCAAAATTCAGAATGAATAAAGCATTTAGGCGATAGGGCGATAGCTAAGACAGTGAAGTCACGTGGTTTGTAACTTCTCTTAAATTTGAAAGGTTTACAATTAAAGTTTAAATTTTACAATTATACACAGAATTCAGTTTGGGTTTTTCTTAGGGCCAATTCCAACATTATTTAAACTAAACTTGTCTGTTTATAGGAAAAAAACTAGGTTGATAAAATGTAAAATTATTAGCATCAGATCATAAAGCAGGAAGACTGCATTTACAGAAAGTATATTTGAACGATTAAATTAATGATTTAAAATATTTTACAGAGTTTGGTTGGTTAAATTTCCTTGGAGGGACTTGGATTTATGACCTCTATTATTTCTATTTCTGGCCCTGTTAACATCAGTCTAATTGTATCAGGAATCTAATCATTCTCTCTCATACCCAACTTATTTTTGCATAAGTTTGTATTTGTATGTAAATATTCAGCAGTCGTCAGCCAGGATAGATGCTTGTTGATTTGAAAGATATTTCCTGCTGGCTAGTTAGTTACATAAAGCTTTCTCCAGGCTCGCTGTGCTGACAAGTTCTGATTTAGAGACTCTTTATAGAACTGAAACTGCAGCCACACAACAACAGTCCTCTTTAGATACCTCTCTTTTCATCGCCAGTCTGTAATGGTCATAACAAGACCTCCATGATGGTGCCAGCTCTTGGTTGCTAGGAGATTGGTGACATAACTACAAAACCTCTTCACTTCTTCTCTAAATATGAATTTTAAACGTGTCCTCCTCACCCTGCTCTGCACTGTGCTCCACTGAGCATTAATCCGTGTTTCTGGCAAATTACAAGTGAATTTACATCTACCCACTCCAACTTCATTTAACACCCGATGCTCCTAATAGCAGACAGGAGGGTTAATTGGGCCCTGCCCGTCATTCTGCAGGTTTAACACAGGCACAGAACCTGTTAGGTAAATAATTGACTGGGAGCTTTCCCGGAGGCTCGTGTGAGGAAGCTGAAGGCCTCTTCTGTGTGGAGAGAACAAAAAGAGGGGAGAGAAAGCTAACCTATTTTCCCTCAGAGGAGCTCGCTCAACAAGGGTGTGTTTCCTGGATGCAAGGGTAAATCAGAATGAATTTAACTCATGGCCTAGTTTCCCTTTTCCTCCCTCTTGTCCTGGAAGCCTTTGAAAGTTTTTTTTTCCAACTTTAGTATTGTCACATCGGATTTGTTAGCAGCTGTGGATCTGAACACAGAGGCAACATTAGAGAAGTGTTTGGGCGACCTTTAGACGTCACAGCAGTTGACCAGTAAATTGGGCTTTTGTTGCGTTCCCTCATGTGTCTCCATCACTTTTATTGCCTTCCAACTGTTCTAATATTTGAATATTTGAAAGAAATTGCCTTCTGAGTCTGATTCAAAACCGTTTCATCTGCAGCTCTGAACACAAATGATTAAACGGTGTGAAATTACAAAATGAGGCCCACAACACATAAATGCAATGCCTTAGAGAATCAGCTCGATAAATAGTACTATACTGAAGGTTGTTAATGTTTCCAGATGAAAACATATTCCTATACGGCTGCTTTATTCTCCTCACAGGAAACATGCAGTACTAAGAGTCTATTAAGACAAATGGTATATTCTACTGAGGTAACTCACATATACTGTATAGTATAATGATTATGAATTACATTAATAATGATGGTTTTTCATACATTAACCTCTACAAATTAGTGAATTAATTTAGAGTTAATTTAACCACAGTTTATATAACAGCTGTTGAGTGGTTAAAATGTAATTTTGTCTCTAACAACTTGACCTGCTGTCAATTAGAATGGATATTTTTATATAGTTATTATTTTACCAAACGTCCTACATTTGAGATTATTTTCGAGTATTTTAAATTAAATTAAATGCATCAGCACAAAAAATGGCAGAATCTATTGATTATTCAATGTGGAAGCCAAAAATCTGATGTGATTAACTGTGCAGCTCAAGCAGCATTTTTAGTTCCATGTTTCACATTCATACCGAGCCTCTACAGGAGACATACAAGACGTTCGGCTCTTTGCTCAAGGGCACCACGGCGCTAGTTGTTAAAGGAAGAAATCTATTTCTTATTCAATTTCCCGGGCACAGAATCTCAGAGCCAGAAACGGATCAAACAAGAGACCCTCCGGTAAAAAAAAACCCTCCTTTTTTCTCGCCAACCACAGCGCCAGTGTAACAGGAACAGATACGTTAGCTCGGGGCTTGTTTAGCCAAGTGTCCCTCGCCACTTTCTCCCTACCTCAGGAGGTATTTTAGTACAAGTGGGATTAGGCTTGTATATCCCGGCCCCTAGCTGTCATGCTGGGGATTATGATGCTGAGGGGAGGAGTGGTGGGTGGTGATGTATGCTTCCGTTTGCTGGTGCCCTGTGAAAGGTGTGCTGGGCAAACTGGGCAGGCTGCAACGGCTGAAGGGCACTGTGGTGGTGGTGGTGGGGATGCTACCCGCTAGCGGCGTTCGGCTAGCATCCAAATGTTGGCGCCAAGAGCTGTGGCTCTTCAGGGGCGGTAGATTGAATTCTACTCTTCTGTCGTGGCAGATGACAGAGGGGCTCGTTTTCTCTGTTAGGCCTGCTCTGACAAATGTGAGATGACGGCAATTACTAACAACATTTTTGTGGTATATTTCAAATAAAAAGTCAATTTTTTTCCTGCCTGGGTGTTATTTATGTAGTTTTGTTCATCATGTTGGTCCTGACTGATTGACAGTTCTATCCGATGGATGTATTTAATGGGCATTCTGGGTGTGTTTACCTCAGTTTCACTTATGAATAATTATATTTTAACACTAATGCCCCCTCGCTCAAAGAGGATTAAGGATCCGGTTGTATGCTTTCTGCCATGTATTGTACTTATTTTAATGTTCTTTTAAAATGAGAGTCTAATCTATCAATGCATATATTTTATGTTCACATTTATGTATACTTTATAGAAGTCACTGAAAGTTGTAGTGCTCGCACAGGCAGAAGAGTGGCTGGCAAAGGTTTTTTACAACCTGTCTGATCTGACTGTGTCTCCAGATTACAACAATTACATTAAAAAAACAAATTTATTGAGGTAGAAGATGACCAGAACTATGAAAATAAGACCCAGATTGTTAAAAAAAAAACTTTTCCGTAGGAGCCAATGTATGATTTAAGGAATAACTGCTGTCCAACTCTCCTCCAGCGCCTCAACATGACTGTGTCCCATCCCAAGTGACCAATCAGAGGAGCAGGCAGACAGGAAGAAGGGCTGTAAATTGAGTGCTACTCATTAAAGTGACATTAATGGCATTATTGAGCACGGAGGAAAAATGAATCACAGTGAAATTGGCACAGGAGTGGAGCGGTAAAAGGGGTTTGGCAGAGTGCCAGTCAGGAGACAGAACCTGGATAATGTCAGGAGCACATCCAGTCGCAGGAGCAGGACTACACTGGGACCAAAGTGACCTCAGTAATACTGTAAATGACGAGCAGTTAGCAACTGTACCCTGGCTTTCTCTGTTACCTGCATAATGTCAGGAATAAACTCCCCTGGTGCGTACAGCGTGTCTGCAATTGCACACTTGTTTCTTTAGTGTTGCTAAGTATTACACAATTGGTACTTTCAGCCAAGCAATCCCACCGCTCAAAGGCATGCTCCAAACGTGTTGATTATTGCCATAAAGCATTTCCCTCTGTGATATTGGTTGCTATGCCAACTTTTGTGAAAACTGGGGACCTAGTTAGCACTCCTCTCCTTCTGTTGTTTATTCTTGTACATTACTGAACTTGCAGAGGCACCAGAAACAGTGTATTAAAGCCATAATACTCCTGAGGATGCTCTTCACTGTGATGACTGTAACTTCAGATGAATAATCACAGTAAAGCATGCCCTATTTGGTGTTATACTGCTTTATAAGGTTTTCCAACTCACACAAAGTTATATCTGCAGCACTGCAAAAAAATGTACAAGTTCATTGTCTTTTGGAGTCCTAGAAGTTACATTCTTATTAAACAAGGTATGAAATCTGTCAGCACAGGTGGAATGTGTCACCAATGTGCATTTCAAAAATAGCATAGGAACGGTCTTGAAATAAGACAACCTGTGCCATAAAAATCAAGATAATTGACATTTGAAACTTCTTAAAGAAAGGTAATTTATAGTGTAACTGACAAGGGTTTTAATTAAAGCTTAAACGATTAGTTGATTAATCAACTGACTAATCTGCAACTCTTTTGATATGCACATTTTTCCACATCACTTTGTTCCAGCTTTTAAAATGTGAGGCTGCGTTTCTTTGTCCTCTATGATAGTAAACTAAATATCTTTGGGTTTTGGATTGTTGTTTATAAAAAAATGTCATCTTGGGCTTGGATTTTTTAAAATATTTTTTTATTTTATAGACCAAACTATTAACCGATCAAACAGAAAATAATCTGCAGGCTAACTGATAATGAAAATAATTGCCCTGGTTTTTAAAGTTTGCCCTCAGGTCAGTCAGGCCGGCCTCTCTGCCCTACCTCTCTTGCTCGGGCACACACCATCAGAGGGGGTTGTGGGTAGTGATTTGGTGGGTGGGGGGAGGTGCTGTTGGTGAGAGGTGAAGTGAAGGAGGTAAAGGGGTGGGGAATGGTGAAGGCGAGTGCTCTGTGAGTAGTCAGGCCGCCATCAGCAGCCGGAAAAACCTCCGGCAGCGGGGTACCAGCATGAGGAGGGGGCGGGTTACACAGAGGGGGTGGAGGGGGGGCACGGTACTCACTGACAGCCTATAGTTCTGCATCATTTTATCAAACTCCTCGTCAATTTTTTTGTATTTCTCCTCAGTGCGGGGGGTGAGGGAGAAGGGCTCCTCGGGGTCTGGGCTCTCAGAGTCCCGGTGCTCTTTCTTGTTCAGAGCCTTCGTTCCCCAAACAAAAGAAGAAGAGGGCAGACACAGAGAGAAAGAGAGGTAGATAGAGAAAGAGAAGAAGAGAAAGGGTAGGTTAGATAAGGTGACAAAAGTGTGACGGTACTCACGCCGTAGCGTTTGAAGAGGCTGTCCAGGTCCTCGGTCTTGCGGTACTTGTCTTCGTTTAGCGGGCTTTGGTCGATGGAGTCGTCCCCGTCGGGCTCGGGGCTGTTGCAGCCGTTAAAGCCTTTCTTTCGCAACGTCTGAAGCGTTCAGAGAGGGGTAGAGGAGGAGAAGGAGGAGGCACATTTACATTTCATTTTTCGTGCACATTTTTGGGATCACCACTTTGATTTTTAAGACACACTTTGATTTCACAAAAACACAAATGACCATCTTGATTGCACATGTCTGCTGACTCCCACACGGTTCATTGTATAAAAATGAAGCAGTGAAAGTCAGATGGAACTGTTTGACCCTGGTGATAACATACAAGGATGTTGTGTTTTTTTTCGAGCTGCGTCTTCAAGAAGTAGAGAAAAGGGCCCTGCAGATAACACATTCTCAACCTCTGATAATCCTCGATTGATTTGTGAGGTCAGTGTTCGTAACATCTGCCGCCCACGTGAAAGCAAGTTATTACAACTGAATCCGAACTTGCTCACCCAGCAGGTGCTCTCGGGAAGTCACGGATTAAAAGGGTGAAGAAACTACTGACTAAAATTTCAAATAGAAAAGCTTTGAAATCAAAGGATGTGGCTTTAGAAAACAAGCACCCCCATCTTTACCGAATGTAGAAGATCTGCTGTAGCTGCCCGAGGCACTTTTACAGGGCGAGAAACTATGTATAAACCTGAGCTGCATGTCAGAAGACATACTGAGGCATCACACCTCTACACACCGGCTAATCAGCAGTGTTACTAATTGGTGTGAAGCTTTGCGCTGAGGAAAGTGGTTAAACGAAGCAAAAGGGTAAAGGGTGTGTTAGGAAGCACGCGGTGGTGTTAGCGCCATGGCTAACGGCAGTCAGGTTGTGTCAGTGTTAGCACACTTTGGAAAGGGCGAGAGGAGAAAGAGGGAGAGCGGGGGATAGAGCGAGAGAGAGATACAGGCTCTTATTTTGAGAGGATTCTGCTAAACGAGATTTGCGTTAAGTAGCTTTGCCTGGTGGGCCCTTGACCACACAGCCAAACAGACGGATCCTCGCAGCAAAATGGATCTTAAACTGGAGCTGGAGAGCCGTCTGTGGTCCAAATACAAGCTTTAGCCCTGAGTGGCATAAGATGAAGAAGAAGAAGAAGAAGAAAATCCCTCGGCTTGAAATCTATCAGCAGAAGGGAATAAAGACTGTAGTACACTGCAAAAAAAAAATCTGAATCTTATCAAATCATTTCCATCTGCATTTGAGTCCTGAAAACCTTATTTCCTTAAAACACATCAAAATCTGCCAGTGCAGAAAAAGAATATTGCATCATGTCAGACTTCCTCAGCTTTTTCAAGAATTTCCAAGAAGAAATTAAACTTGATTTTGAAACAAGTTGATTTGTACTGGAAACAAATTAAAATAATGAGTTTTAGTTATTAGTAATAGTAAATAAGACTTTCAACACAAAGTGATTTTACATGTTTAAGCTACAAATCATGTGTTCTTTATATCACGGTTAACCATGTTGTTGCATTTAAAGGACCAGTGTGTAGGTGCAGATCTCCCTCCACATGTGTAGGAGGAACTATGATGGCCACAAAACTCTGCATAATTACAAATTTCTGGAGCCAGTGTTTGGTTTGTCGCTCTGGACTACTGTGGAAATGGCTGTTCAACATGGCTCATTCTAAGTTACCAAAAACATAACGCTTCATATTTTCAGGCGATTATATACTAATAAAAACATAACTATGAATATTATATTCCATTTCTGCCAATAGATCCTCCTAAATGTTACAACCTGGAGCTTTAAGAAGTAGCTTTTTTCCTGCTTTTCTTGGCATCCATTGGTTTCCACTCAGTTATGTACATTATGTTAAGCTATTAGCAGATACTTAGAGCAGCAAGAATTGATTTTTGTTTTTTTGGGGGGGGGCACTTAGGGACAGTGAAACCAGCTGTAAACCCAATATTGACATATTATGACCTTATGAAGGTGTTATGGCGAACTTGTTGGAAAACAGCTGCCTATATTCAATTCATAGTTAAAAACTAACTAACAAAAACACTGGTTTGGTTCTTTGAGGGCTCGATTACAGATAGATACTATACGAATGAGATGTATCATATCACAGATTATCCATTAGAGACAAAGTACTCTAAGATCATACGCAATACTTCACACACCCTATATTTTCTTTAATTAATTATGCTATGTCAAGTGTGACTGCAGTCTAGTGGTGGTCTGATTAAAACATAAGCACATGTTCCACGACTCCCACCGCGCACAATCACTGCTAAGTGAGGATGATTCAACTGCATGCAATTCAGCCTCGGAAGTAGAGCTGGCAGTAACGCGTACCTGCAATAGCGCCCGACAAAACCCCGAGGAGGCAGAGACAGAGATTCTTTTAATTTCGCATGAATTAGTCTTAAATCCTCAAAACAGGTGAGGGCAAGAGGGTAATGATGCCATGTGGATGTCGGGGTAAAGAGACTTTCAGTTTTAATAACAATAGCACTCTTTGATATGAATCTCATTAAAACTCGAAGCCATTATTATTATCGCAGTGTCAAAGCTGCGTTTTATCTACCCACAGAAACGGGTTATTAGACAGATTTGTTCCAACACGGAGACAGTCGCCTGATTCAGCTGTTCAGTCTCCCCAGAACAAGTCAGTGCTCTGATCTGCAGCTTAATGCAAATTTAACGCACGGGAGCCGCCACCACATGCTTTGTTGTCCACAGTTCATAGAAAACACACTCTGCAGTGGCAGTTAGTGTGCGGATATGTATGTGTTCTGACCTAAAAACCGAGGGAACAAAAGAACCATAGGGAAAATAAAATAAATATGACTAAAACCACTTCAACATGACAAAGACGGCATGTGACACAGGACTGCATGGAGGATGTGATTGGGGCGTGGACCTCCTGCCCCCGACTGTCAGGACACAAAGAGATAAAGAGCCTGCAAACAAAACTGTGATGACACTGGAGCCATGTTGGTGCATCGTTCACATGTACTGACACACACATGCACACACATTTGTACTTCAATACTTATGAGGACATGATGTACAGTGACATAATTCTGGTGTTCTGTAACCCTAATGTTGACCATCGCAACCACATGTCTTACCCCAACCACAACCCAAACCATAACCTAAAAGGATAGTTCCTCTTTATTACCACTCTTCTATTCATGTTTTTTACATTGTGCTCACCAAAAAAAATAGCTGAGACTCTGGAACATGGTAACAATATTGCGAGTCTGACATGGCAAGAAACTCGAGCAATCAGATAATCAACAATTTTCTAAAAGCAGAATTTTTTTTTCTTTTCTTTTTATGGAGGTGAATTTGAACGTGAGCACCTCTAAAATGTTCCTAATAAATTCGCAGGAAATCAATAAAAAAAAAAAAGTAAAAAAAAGTATGGTACATCAAAGTTAAATCAGAAGGTTAGCCCCTGGGAACAGCGCAGGGTGTGTCAGTTGTTTTTGGCATAATGACCACAGCCGGTACTGCAGGTCACATGATGCAAACTGCCGCAAAAACACTTCTTACCCATCCACAATCATTATGGAAGAAAATGCTAAAAAATGATGAGTAACACTTTTCTTAGCACAAATTGACTTTTTTTTTTAACCATTAGGTCCAACAAAATGTTAAAAATCCTGAAGACTAAAGGCATTCATGTGTGCAGGGAGACATCAGGAAGTTAAGCTCAAAGAAGGTTTTGGTCAAAAACTGCAGAAACCCAACAAAGCGCTAAACACTTTTTTGGAGAATGCATCCAGTGAGCAGCTGGAATTAATATGGCAGTTTCAGTTTCCCTTATACATCCATAGTAAACTGAGTTGGATGTGCAAATTGACCTTTTTCCCACAGTCTGTCTTCCAAATAAGTTTGTCTAACCTGGTGGGTTCTGATCGTCTGAGTGCTTCTTGACTAGTTAACTGCATTTTAAAAAGGTCGCACTGTTCCCAGAGCTTAGAAATTACCTTGGTGAGTACAATGTTATATTAATCATAAATCCAAGTCTTCTCTCAACTCTATCCCCAGACAAAAACATCAATATTGGATGTTCCTGCAAACCCCCGGATTATGTTCAGTGATGTTTGTTTCATCAAATGCCAGCTTTTTTCAGATTCTTACTTTGTACAATACCCGCACATGGCAACTACTGTATGGTTAAGGCAAGGGAAAAATTGTGGTTATGGCAAACAAACTACGGTTATGGTAGAATTAGGCAACTAAAAACATTTGGCTGAGGCCAGAGAAGATTGTGATGGTTCATAAAGAGGCAAATTAATTGTACACATCTGACTGGAAATTAAGTTGCCCATCTGCCAACCCCGAACTCCACACTCTTACTTTCCACACACATCCTGCACTGGCACTAAAAGTGGTTACTGGACATAAATCCGTACTGAATCATCCAATATGAACCGAACTCTCCTGGAGACACTGGGCTGACCCTCACGCAGCCTTTCGACGAGGTGAGGACCAGACAAAAAGTCTTAGCTTTACGATAATGTCCTCACTCTCAAGGTCTACAGCTGAAATTGATGTTCCTGTAAACACAGCGCACTTCCTTCTTCATCTCTATATTCCTTCATTGTACAAACACACTATTTCTTCTCTCTTTCTCTCTCTCCCTTTTTCTCTCACGTAAACACAACTGATATTTTGTGAACATTACAGTGCAAACATGGGCATCTTTCCCTTTCTTTCTCTCTCTGTTTCTCTTTGTTTCTCTGCTTGCTCTCTCTCACAGTGAACATTTGTGTTACAGTACATTCACGTGCTCTCTCTTTCTCTCTCACACACACACACACACACACACTCTGTAGTCCACTGATCAGCTTGTCTCTCACTCAGTCAGCCATCTGTTCACCTGTCCGCCGTCTCTCTCTCTCTCCCTCCCTCTCTCTCTCTCTCCCCCTCTATTGTGTTGCCAGGGTAAGATTCACCCTGCAGAGCACCACGCCGGCCTCTGACTGGCTGCGGCTGCTGACAAGCCCCGCCCCCCCACCTCCCTCCCTTCCTTCCCCTCTGGCTTGCTCGCTCGCCCACCCGCCTGTCCGCCCGACCTCTGTTTCCAGCTCTCCATG